AAGCCCAGTCACAGCCCACCACGGGCTCCCACGCCCTACCATGACCTCTCACAGCCTACCACGGCCTTGTGTGTCCCACCACGGCTCTGCGTGACCCATCACGGCCCCATCATGATCTTACATGTCCCACCACGGCTCTGCATGACCCATCACGGCACCATCATGACCTTGCATGTTCCATCACGGCTTTGTAAGCCCAGTCACAGCCCACCACGGGCTCCCACGTCCTACCACGACCTCTCACAGCCCACCATGGCCTCACACGTCCCACCTGGCTCTGCATCACCCATCATGTCCTCATCATGACCTTGCATGTCCCATCATAACTTTGTGTGACCCATCTCAGCTCCATGACGACCTTGCGCGTCCCACCATGGCCTTGCACGACCCATCACGGCCCCATCATGACCTTGCACGTCCCATCATGACCTTGCACGTCCCATCATGGCTTTGCAAGCCCACTCAGAGCCCACCACGGGCTCCCACGCCCTACCATGACCTCTCTTGGCCCACCACGGCCTCCTACACCTCATCACGGCCCACCACGGCCTCCCGCATCCCCCCCAAAGCCCGGCACACCTTGTCCCACCCATCCCCAACCCCGCTGGGCGCTGACCCTCGTTCTCGTCCTTGAAGAGCTCCTCGGTGCCGAACTTGAGGATGTCATCAAGCTCCTGCTTGGACATGGAGCCGGCCTTGGAGCCCAGCCCCGGGCGCACGACCAAGTGGGTCAGCATCATCTTGCGCTTGGCCACCTGCGTGATGCGTTCCTCCACCGAAGCGCGGGTGACAAACCGGTAGATCATCACCTTGTTGGCCTGGCCGATGCGGTGCGCCCGGCTGAAGGCCTGCGGGGACGGGGACGTGTCAGCGGGGACACGGCGGTGGGAGAAGGGATGGGAGGTGGGGGATGAGACCGGGCCGGGGGGTGGCAGGGACGTCGTGGTGAGGGACACGGTGAGGGACACATCAGAGCCGGGACATGGAAGTGGGAGATGTGGTGAGGGACATCAACAGGGACATCGTGGTGAGGGACACGGTGAGGGGAACATCTGATTGGGGACACGGTGGTGGGAGACACCATGGGGGACATCAGTAGGGACATTGTGGTGAGGGACACGGTGAGGGACATATCAGAGCGGGGACATGGAAGTGGGAGATGTGGTGAGGGACATCAGCAGGGACATCGTGGTGAGGGTGACAGGGTGCTGGGATGGCTGACAGGGTGCTGGGCGGGTGACAGGGTGACAGGGCAGGTGACAGGGCGCTGGGGGAGCGAGCAGGGACATCGTGGTGAGGGTGACAGGGTGCTGGGATGGCTGACAGGGTGCTGGGCGGGTGACAGGGTGACAGGGCAGGTGACAGGGCGCTGGGGGAGCGA